TGAATAGCACTGATTCAATAAAAACCATCGAACCTTAAGCAGAAGTTTTAACTTGGTCAATTCCAATTCCCATTTTACATTTCCCAGCTTTCTCACACCAAAACCACTGCTGCTGAATCAATTCTGACTCACCTCTCCGTGATTCTGTGAGTCACAGTACAATTGCTGCCATAGCGTTTCCACGGCTGTAAATCTTTACAGAAGCAAACCACCCTATCTTTCTCCCACAGAGCTGCTAGTGGGTAATAACTACCAATCCTTCCTCCGGTGAGCAGCCAGGACTTAATACTGTGCCACCAGGCCTTCTCCCAGCTCTGTAGTAGCCTTGGAGACTTATCTTCAATGCAACTCCTTGAGTTTTTTGGACAATACTCTTGGAAAGAAAGTGGTAGACATTGTGGACTTCACCCTCAAATTCCTGACCTTGAATCTCCTAATGACAAAGATATTTCATAAGTAGCAACACACCTTGATGACATCTAAGAGAATTAACAGTAATTTTCTGATTCTATAACAGCAACGAGAGCGTCAAACCACTTCTTCCTGGTTCCATTATGGCCAGTGAAATATATTCGCTGAGATGGCAAAGGAGACTTAATATTGAAGATAAAGGTAGGCCTGCTAGCAGCTGACCTTAAATTAGGGGAAAGTATTCGTTAGTATCCCAGTAGGCCCAATGTAATCACAGGCCCTTAAATAAAGAAGGCAGGGGACTTGGTGTCAGAGCCAAGAACACTTCATTGGCCATTACTAACTTTGGAGCTAAAAGGGGGATACGGTTACAGGTACACAAGTTGGGAGGAGTAAAGAAACATCCTCTCTTAAGCTCAAACAAAAAATCAGACACATACCTGTGGGATATAAAAAGACTTTTCTCCAGCGTCTCTCCCCAAAATATATGTCAGACCTAGGACACTGCTTGGAACTAATGGTAAATGATCCTCAAGTTATCTCCCTGAAGGCAACAGCCATCCAGAGCAAGCAGACCCTATTGTCTGTCTCACCATAGGTGAGGCTTACTCCCTACTGTTAGAGACATTGGATTTGCTTCCCGTGAAAGCTTAGAATAAATCAAGTCTCCAGCTCAAGGACATTCAAGGTTAGGCTGCCATCATGAATCTAGGATCTGTCCATCTTGTCACATGTGTACCCTTAATCCCTCCTCTTCCTGTAGTGTGTACACTCCTAGATCGTCCCCCTCCTGCTACTGTATTACCTATAGTACAGCCCCTTCCTGTGACATATGTCTTTACCTGTAATCAGGGGGCTTGCATGGCCCGAAAAGATATTGAAGCCTTGGTTAGAAATAAATCGCTCTCTCTCCTCCACCTGCACTGTCCTGTGCTTGGACCTGGCTGTGAGATTGTGGCCATCCAGAAGGTAAGCATGCGACTATGAAATATGTTTCCTTTATTTGACTCTTTCTTCTTTCTCTTATTCTCTATGACTTTACTATAACCTTTATATATCTTAACCCTACAAGTGTGCCTACCAGACCCGTGATAGTGTGCGGGGCTGGCTTCCCCCACATATATCCATTGACATATAGTCCTTTCCAACTCATCACAATCCTTTATAGAGAGAAGTGCCCACCGGGTTTCCTAGGCTGTGAATCTGAATGGAAGCAGAAGGCCACGTCTTGCTCCTGCAGAGTAGTTGAGTGTGAACTGTGTGCCCCTTTCAGCTAGCAGCCCAGCGTTTGACAATGCTCCTCTAGGACTCGTTGGATTTTTTCCCTAGAGCATCTAAAAAGGAATGCAGTCCTGCTAATACCTTAGTTTTAGCACATTGGGATCCACTCAGGCTTCTATAACTGTAAGTTAATAAATGTGAATATGTGCTGTTTTAACAATTTTCTATAGCAGTAATAAGAAATACTAGGTCTATCTATATAAGATAGACAATCCCGAGGAGAAAACAATGACACCAACAGTTTGGGAGGGAGGAGGGAAAAGGGGCAGGGGTGGGGGAAGGAAGGGGGAAGCCAACAAACCCAGGGACAAGGGGACAAGTGACCTAATGTCGATGGTGAGGAGGGCGTAGTTTGCCTTGTGGGGCTTGATCAAGTGCAATGTAACTAGAGGAATTAATGGAAGCTGAATGAAGGTCGAACATGATACTGGAACAAGAGTAAAGTAAAAGGAAATAGAGGAAAGAACTAGGAGGCAAAGGGCATTTATAAAGGTATAAATACAGGCACATGCATATGTAAATATATTAATACATAACGCTAGGGACACAGGTCTTTGCACATACGCTAAATATTAAGGTAGCAGACAGACACTAGGCCTTTACTCAAGTACTCCCTGAACACAAGAACACTTTGTTCTAAAACTGGTACTCTGTGATGCTCATCTTCCTGATAGGATCACTGAAGACAAAATGGGTGCATAAACAAATGTGAAGAAAGCTGATGGTGCCCAGCTATCAAAAGATACAGTGTCTGGGGTTTAAAGGCTGGAAGATATACAAGAGGCTATCTAGCTGAGAAGCAACAAAGCCCACATTGAAGCACACCAGCATGTGTGATCATGAGGTGTCGGTGGGATCAGTTATCAGAAGACCCAGAACAATCAATCATGAGAATGGAGGGATGGGGGAACCCGTGTGGAGACCCAAAGACCATCTGTAGACAATTGGACATGCCCTTACAGAAGGGTCACAAGGAAGGGACAAGCCAGCCAGGGTGTAGTATAGCACCAATAAAGCATACATTTCTCTAGTTCTTTAATGCTTCCTCCACCCCACAATCATGACTCCAGTCCTACCTGACAAATCGGCTAGTCTAGAGCATGTACACTGGTACGTTAAGAGCTCTTGACACATGGAATCCAGGGCAGATAAACCCCTCGGGAACAATAATGGGAGTAGCTGACACCATGAGGGTAGGGGGAGAAAGTGAGAACCAATCAACAGTTGTCAGGGGAGCCAGCCCCTAACAAATCATCACAGAACCAGCAGGTGCAATTGTACAGTGATACTATTTAAATACTATAGTAAAGGCATAGAGAACACCAGATGGAAGAGTGAAATAAAGGAGTCACGTATTTCATGGTAGCATGATCACCTCAGCTCCTCGTTGGTACATGTGGAGATGGAAGATGAGAGGGCAGGAGAGAGGGCGGGGAAGAACAGGGGGAGAGGGAACAAGGGAGAGGGGACCAGGGGAGAGATTTCTAACCAAGGCTTATCTATCTTTTGAGGGCGCGCAAACCCCTTGAATACGGGTAAAGACAAGTCACAGGAGGGGGTTGTACTACAGGTAATACCGTGAGCGGGGGACGATCTAGGGGTGTACATGCAATAGGAAGGGGAGGGATTGGGGGTAGACAAGTGACAAGATGGGCAGATCCTAGATTCAGGATGGCAGCCTAACTTTGGATGTCACAGAGCAGGTTTGACCTGTTCTCTGGCTCTCCATGGAAACAACTATCCTTATCAGTACAGTCTGAGCCCCACCTACAGTGCATTAGACTGATGGCTGAATGCACTCAGGGAGATTATCTCTAAGCACCTGACCTTCCACCATGTGCTGGCAAACAGCCTCTAATGTTTGGCATATCTTTGCGGAAGACAAAGCTGGGGAAATGTCTTTTTTATATTCCACAATGATGGAGGTATACCACCACCCCTCAAGGGGGACAACAGAAACGTGGGTAAAGGGAGACAGTAGTGTAATATATGAAAATAATAATTTGTAAATTATCAAGAGTTCATGAGGGAAGGAGGCTGGGGGAGGGAGGAAAAAAATGAAGAGCTGACACCAAGGGCTCAAGTAAAATGTTGTGAAAAGGTTGATGGCAACATTATGTACAAATGTGCTTGACACAATGGATGTGTGGCGTGTGATAAGAGCTGTCAGAACCCCCAATTAAAAAAAACAAAAAAAACACCCAGTACTGAGCATGAGAAAGAAAATGTTCCAAAACTGTTGATTGCATGACTGCACTATTCTTAATGATTGTAGTACCGATTGTTTATGTGAATCACATGCCAAAAAAGACGTTGTATACACTTAAATACAAAAATGAGCCAATAAAATGATTAAAAAAGAAATATATATTGAATTTCCACATTCAACATATGTAAAGGGTAAAATTGCACAACACAATTTTGGTGTACATAGAGTTCATTTATTAGAAAAACCTTTCCCACATTCCCAAAGTATAATGATGTATGAGTTAGATGAGATTATAGGAGAGTTTCCAATGTTTATTGCTTTCAGGACTTTCCATTTTCTATGAGTTCTTCCACATTTTACTACAAATGTTCATGTAATCTGGTTTGTTTTGCTGGTATTTAATAAGGTAAAATATATTAGTGAAAACACCATCATATTCTTTCCTATGGTTTTTGACCTTAAGAAATATTTGCATCGGACAGAGCAAGATAGGACAAAATACCAATTTATAAACTATCAAGGGCTCATGAGGGAGGGGGGAGCGGGGAGGGAGGGGAAAAATGAGGACCTAATGTCGGGGGTTTAAGTGGAGAGAAAATGTTTTGAGAATGATGTACAAATGCGCTTTACACAATTGATGTGTGTATGGATGGCAATAACAGTTGTATGAACCCCTAATAAAATGTTTTAATATATATATATTTGAAAGCAACTGAGAGTCATAAACTATTCTAGCTAAGCTACCTTTCTATTCAACATTGTTGCCTTGATGTCTTTTAGATGACAGAAACGTAAATGATGGCTCTAACACAGAAACCTACCCCTCACAGTTTAGGAGGCAGGCAGTCTCAATTCAGAGCGCCAGCTCCAGGCCGTTCAATCTTCATGTCTGCAGATTCTAGAAGGTTCCCAGTGCAGGGGCTCTAGGCCCAAAGGAAGCACTCCATCCAGCTCCTTTTGGTGGTACTAGGTTCCTCTGCTCACTTCTTTTGTCATTTGTAAAATTAAAAGTGTTGCAAGGCACACCCCAGAGAAATACCCCTTATGTTAGATCAGGGCTCTACAGGGGTTAAGGGATTTCATCTTATAATTGATTGGCTCATTACATCAGATAACATAATGGGAAATCATTATATAACTGCCAAAGCACTGAGAATTATGGCTGAGCTAATTTGATACATATTTTGGGGCAGGTAACCCAATTCATGACAATAAGAGGATTCTTCAATCCCAAATATATACCTAGTGTGCTTTGTTCTAAGTGAGCTCTGATGGATATTATATATAGGATACCCTTGCTAAAGACTTTTCCACATATCTGATGACCAAAGTATTTTTCTCCCTACATGATACCTGTAACATATAAGACATAATTTATAATGGGGGGTGTTGTCACATTCACTGCATTTACAAAATTTATTTCCGGGGGAAATTCTCGATAATTTATGAAGGCTGGACTTCTTAAAAAAGGTGGTTCTACAATCATTACATTTCTACTCCCCACAAGTTCATTGCTGTTTAATAAGGGCTGAGTTCTTGAAGACGGTGTTTCCATTGGCACTGGATTCACAGGGTTTTGCTCTTGACCCAGTTCGTTCATGTGTAAAGAGGAATGACTCCCTGAGGAGTGTTTTCTTACCTTCAGGGAGTCTGATTTTTCTCTGCCGTGAGTCTTCTTATGTTTATCAAGGACTGACATGTGGGCAAAAGCTTTGCCACATTCGCTGCACCCATATGCTCTTTCTCTGGGATGAATTTCGTGATGCTGAATGAGCATCGGTTTGCTTCTGAAGGCTTTTTCACATTCAGAAGGTTTCTCTCCTGTATGAATTCTTTGATGCTTGGTCATGTCTGATTTTAAAAAGGTCCTTCTACCTTCGCTGCATTGATAAGGCTTCTCTCCTGTGTGATGTCCCTGATGTGCCATGAGGTAGGCCTTCTGGGAAAAGGCTTTTGTACACTCATTGCAATCATAGCATTTCTCCCCCATATGAGACCGCTGATGTCTGTTAAGCCGGCACTTCCTGCTGAAGGCTTTCCCACATTTGTTGCATACGTAGGGTTTTTCCCCTGTATGATTTCTCCAATGTACTCTGAGCTGGGACTTTCTGGAGAAGGCTTTCCCACATTTATCACATCCATGGGGCTTCTCTCCTTTATGAAATCTCTGATGTTCAGTGCGCTGAAGCCTCCTCATAAATGTTTTCCCACTGCATTCATGAATTTTCTCTCCTTTTTCAATTCTTTGATGTCTAATAAGTTGTGCCTTCTGGGAGAATGCTTTTCCACATTTACTGCACTCATGCGGCTTCTCTCCTGTATACATTTTTGGGTGGTAATTCATGTGGACAGAGGATTTCTTGTATCCACCATACTCATCATAACCCTTTTCTGCATATCTTCTATTCTGGATAACAAAATCTAAAGCTGTCAAACTTGTACAAGGTGAGTCGAATGTCTTCTGCTGTTGTTTCACAAGAACTAAATTTTTGGCTGAATGGAGATTCCTTTCAAGAGCATAACTTTGTTGATATCTTTCCAAACTTTTAAGCTCATTTTCGTTTTCTGGCTGCCACTGCAGTTGGTCAACTGCTTTTATTTCTTCTGGAAAAAAATAACAAAAACATCCATGATCATTTTAGGGAGGAAAAACTATTCAATGCCATGGTTTGGGATTGGTTTTATAAGAAATATGCCTACAAGAAATATACTTTATTGAAATGCACTCTCACACTCTTAGAAAAATATACAGTATGTCTTTTCTCCCCACTTTATCTCTTTACCTTAACCAATGGTTAAGTCCCAAAGACAAGGTGGTTAATGCCAAATTGGCATTACCATTTATACTCGAGTATATATGGTAAATGAAAAAGGAGGATGATCACTTCAGATAACAAAATAGAAGATAACCACACCGTTATAGAAATGCCAAACCAATAGAATGATGGCCCAGTTAGGTTGACATGCTATCTTGATCATCACAGCGAATGCTACTCCCATCTCTCACCTTGGTGTTTGTCACTGCTACATGCACATTGCTAATGCACAACATAGTCAGCTAGTCTTTTTCCTTACCATTCATTGTGGGATACAGAAAGATTTCTTCCAAGTTGTCTCCCCCAAACATATGCCATACTCAAGACACGTGGTAAATGACTGTAGACTAGCAGGTTAATGCAAGTAGGTCAGAGGTTACACTCCTTAAGGGTATCAGCCATCGAGAGCAACCAGACTGTATAGTCTGACTCACCCCAAGTAGCCCACTCCTTTCTGATTAGGATAAAGATTGTTCCCTTGAAGAGGAGCCCAAAGGTAAGGTAGGGACCACTCAAGGATGACTAAGGTTAGGCTACTATATTGAGTCTAGGGTCCACCCATCTTGTCACATGTGTACCCCTAGTCCCTCCCTTTACTATTTCATGTACACCCCTAGGTCATCCCCCTCCTATTGCTTGTTATTGCCTATGTTACAACCCCTCCCTCTGACATAGGTTGTTATCTGTAATCAGGGGGCTTCCATGCCCCCAAAGATATATAAGCTTTGGTTAGAAATAAGACCTCATGAGAGCTCTCCCCTGCCCTCTCGTCTCCCACCTCCATGTGTACCACCAAGAGGAGCTGAGGTGAGCATGCTACCATGAAATGTGTCTGACTTCTTTATGGTACTCTCTCTCCTATTCTCTATGATTTAACTATAATCTTTGTATATCATAAACTTACAGTTGCGCCCACCGAACCCGTAATTAGTTGTGAGGGGCTGGTTACCCCCACAAATGGCACCCATTGCGTGGCGTAAGAAAATAACTTTTTTTTTTTTTCAAAAGTAGCTAGTGGCTTTATTACCATCTCCACTGCCAGTCTCTACTTTTTTTTTCCCAATCATTTTATTAGGGGTTCATACAACTCTTATACATCAATTGTGTAAAGCACATTTGTACATTCATTGCCCTCATCATACTCAAAACATATGCTCTCCACCTAAGCCCCTGGCATCAGCTCACTTTTCCCTCTCCCTCCCCGCTCCCTCATAAACCTTTGATAATTTATAAATTATTATTTTGTCTTATCTTGCACTGTCCAATGTCTCCCTTCACCCACTTTTCTGTTGTTTGTCCCCCAGGGAGGAGGTTATATATAGATCCTTGTAATCTGCTCCCCCTTTCCAACCCACCCTCTCTCCACCCTCCCAGTATCGCCACTCACACCACTGGTCCTGAAAGGATCATCTGCCCTGGATTCCTTGTGTTTCCAGAACTCTTTTGAGTTACACACCAAATTTCAAGGCCCCACCAGACAGTAGAATTTATATCATAACCGTACAATTGCGCCTACTGAACACTGATAGTTGTGAGGGGCTGGTTTCCCCCACAATTCATAAATGCAAAATTTCACATAAAGAGTTGCTAAGTGAGATGATGTTCTATAAAACAGGAGGGAAAAAGAACAACTATGGTAGAATCAACAATGAATAAACACAACGTAAGCTACATTCCAAACTAAGCCACAAACCAAACTTCTTGCCACTGAGTCAACGACCTTCCTTACAGGGCAAAGTAGTATTATGACTTGGGGTTTCTGAGACTATAAATCTTTATAAGCGTACACCCTCATCTATCTCTAGTGGTGTGACTGGTGGGTTTGAACTACCTATCTGTAGTCAGCAGTCTCAGATTTCATCTACTTTTCCACCAGGGGCTCCACCTTCCAAACAGAACCTTATAAGATGGAGACAAACAGTAACAGAAATAAGTCGGTGTCGTAGATCATTGTGATTGGTTCCACCTTTCTCCCCTTTCCCTCTTGGTATCACTACTCTTATTATTGGTGCTGAGGGGTTTATCTGTCCTGGATTCCCTGTGTTTCCAGCTCTTATCTGTACTTGTGTGCATCCCCCTCCCTGGGGGATGGACAACGGTAAACTGGGTGAAGGGAGACATTGGAACAGTGTAAGACATGAAAAAGTAATAATAATAAATTATCAAGGGTTCATGAGTGAGAGAGGGAGGAGAAAAAATAAGGAGCTGATAGGAAGGGCTCAAGTAGAAAGAAAATGTTTTGAGAATGATGGCAACAAATGTACAAATGTGCTTGACACAATAGATGGAGGTATGGATTGTGATAAGAGTTCTACAAGCCCCCAATAAAATGATTTAATAAATCAATCAATCAGTATTGAAATAAAATGAGAGAAGATGGTGGGGAAATCTGATTTAGGATGAATGGCTATACCTCTATGGACTCAAACTGACAACAGCAACTAGAAAAGGGGAGGAGCCAGTTTATGTTAATAAGGGCACAAGAATTTTGAAAAGGAGGGTGAGAATGGTTATATGAATTGAAGGCCATCACTGCCATACAATTGTACATGTTGAAATTGTTGAATTGGTTTATTTGTGCTGTATATGTTCTCAACAACAAAATATTTTAAAAACCAAGCAAGCCCCCTCAGGACCAATAATGAGAGTAGCAATACCAGGAGGGTAAGGGAAAGGTAGGGGGTAGGATGGGGAAACCCATCACAATAATCTACATATAACCCCCTCCCTGGGGGACGGACAACAGAAAAGTGGGTGAAGGGAGACATTGGACTGTGTGAGCCATGAAAAATAATTAAAAAGGGGAGGGTTTAAGAAAAAATAAAAAATAATAATTTATAAATTATCAAGGGTTCATGAGGGAGGGAGGGTGGGGACAGGAGGGGGAAAAATGAGGAGCTGATAACAAGGGCTCAAGTAGAGGGAAATGTTTTGAAAATGATGATGGCAACAGATGCACAAATGTGCTGGACACATAGATGGACAGACAGATTGTAATAAGAGCTGTACGAGCCCCCAACAAAATGACTAAAAAAGGAGAGCGGTGGGGGTGCAAAAAACACAAAACCAAGCAATCAAAAACAAACAAACGAGCAATCACGCAAAAAGAGAAAGTCCACAAATGTGAACAAGTACACTACAGTACATTGCACCACAGTGGGTGTGACGTCATTGGTAGAAGGGAAATTTTCAGACCAGGGAAGATAGACAATAGGAAGTAGATAGCTACAAGAAAAGAAGACGTGGAGAGGTGAGAAAGAATGAAATCCAAGTTTTATGTGAGGTGATTCAATCCAGAAGAGAGAAAAATGGGAAGCCATTGTCCATTAACAATAGACCAAGGAAAACAGTCTTAGTTTTAAAAAACGAGTTGATAAAGAGGTTGAATAGCTTTCTGGTACAACAAAAGTTCTGTAAAAAACATTTCTAAAGTGTCAACCCATCCAAGACCAACTGGACTGTGGTGTTGCTTCTGCCCATTGTCTGGGCTGTCACTCACTCACCTGGGCTGCTCCGATCGTGGATTGCTCCTCCCACTGTCCATGACTGTTCTCCTGGTTCCACCTTGAACACTGGCTCTGGTTTGGTATCGAGATATCCTACAAATGGGAAATCACCGGACACTTGGCACCAAATATTTATGTTTGGAGAATCTATGGGAACTGGGGGTGGTTACGCTTCAGGCATCATACTATTTCTACTCTGCTAGATTAAATGTTGTTGTTTTTCTAACTGAGTATAAGTTATATGCTCTAGTATCAAAGATGAGAATAAACATCCATGACTTACAATTCTTTAGTCCAAACATGATAGGCATGGGGCTTTAATGATTTCATCAAATGAAAAAGAAGATCGATGGAGCCCACAGTGAAGGACCCTGTGATATTCCCCTTACCTGTCGATGCCAGGTTACTGTAATTCTCCAACATCACATCTTTGTACAGGTCCTTCTGAGTGGGGTCCAATAATTGCCACTCTTCCCAGGTGAAGTCCACAGCCACATCTTCAAATGATAAAGGCTCCTGGAATACATTTCTGTGTTAGTCTGAGTACTTTAAGAGAAACAAATCCACAGAAACTCACATATAAGAGAGAGTTTTATACAAAGGTTAAGTGCACATCAAGAAAACATCCCAACCCAGTGCTGCTCAAGCCCACAAGTCCAACATTAACCCATTAACCCATATGTCTAACACCAAGCCACAAAGTCCTCTTCCATCTCACAAAACAGATGCAATGATGCTGACTGCAGGAGGAAAACTGAGTCAGGCAAATGTGGTGAAGAAAGCTGATGATACCTGGCTATCAAAAGATAAGGTGCCTGGCTACCAAAAGATAAAGCATCTGGGGTGTTAAAGGCTTGAAGTTAAACAAGCGGCCATCTAGCAGAGAAGCAACAAGCCCACACGGAAGCAGCACACCAGCCTGTGTGATCATGAGGT